GTCTGGACTGGACGACGGGCGACGATGAGGCGGCGACGGGGCGGCGACGGCGGCATCAAAGCGGCGGACCCGACAAACGAGCCCAGCTCCTTAGAGGACATATAAGAAACCCTCAGTGCAGGCACCGTTCGGAGAATATGAACATATACATATACATGTATACTATATCTATACAAATATATATGTATAGATCAACATGGCAGTAGATCAATATGTGTATATATATATATATATGTATATATGTCGACCCCAGACCGTGCGTTTCTGGCAACGTGTTGCGCAACATACTCGGAATAATATCTGCGGTGCAATCAGTCTATGTATAGCAATATACGTGTTGCAATATATGTTGTGCATTCTATATGGTGCACTCTTCGTTGCGCCGTCTACATCTGGAACAATGTATGTGGTGAAATATACGCGGAGCCATCTACGAGGTGCAATCTATGTAGAGCAGCCTGAGTGGTGCATTCTACGCGGTGCAACATATGCTGTGCAATAGATGCTGCGCAGTATATGTGTAGCAAGCTATGTGGTGCAATATTTGTGGCGCAATCCACCTTGCCCAATTTATGTAGGACAATGTGTTTGCTGCAGTATACGTGGTGCAATTCACTTTGACCGTCTTGAAGCTATCCTCTCCACTGCTCGTGCAAACATCCCACCCTCCCACCCGCAACTTGCTCGCAAGACCCCTTAAGACAAGACCGTGACGGTAGGTACAACATGGCACTTGTCCACGACACCGACGCCGACGACGACAGCGACAATGACGACGACGGCGCCGCCGACACCGACTACGACGACACCGACGACGTCTCCAACGACTTCGACGACGACAGCGACGACGACGACGACGACGACGACGACGACGACACCGACGACGACGACGGCGACGCCGACGACGACGACGATGACGACGACGACGCCGACGACGACGACGACGTCGACGACGACGAAGACGACGACGAAGACAACGACGACGACGACGACGACGACGACGACAACGACGTCGCCAACGAAGACGACGACGAGGGAGGAGGGAGGACGACGACGGCGACAACGATGACAACGACGACAACGACGAGGGAGGAGGGAGGACGGCGACGACTCGAACGACGAATGAGGAGGAAGGACGGCGACGTCGACGACGACAACGACGAGGGAGGAGGGAAGACGACGACGACGACGACGACGACGACGACGACGACGACGACGACGACGACGACGGCGACAAAATAGGAGGGACGACGACGAGACGCTGACGACGGACGACGACGACGTTGTCGTCATCGTCCGTCGTCATCGCCGTCTTTGTCGTCATCGTCATCATCATCATCAGCATATCATCCTCAAAATTGGCCACAGTCATCATCATGTTCATCATCAGCAACAACAGAATCAGCAGCATCACCATCATCATCACCATCAGCATCAGCAACTTTATCCGTAGCAGCGTCGACCGTATCACCATCATCATCATCATCATCATCATCATCATCATCATCATCATCATCATCATCATCATCATCATCATCATCATCGGCGTGGTCGTCGCCATCGTCATCGTCATCGTCGCCATCGCCATCACAATCATACCCATCAGCATGCCCCCCCGTCATGTTGTTCCCATCTCTAGCCCATTCCCTCATCTGCGCCCCTCCTCACCATCATCAACGTCATCGAAAGCATCAGAATAATCGTCATCATCACCACCACCACAATCAGAAGCAGCATCAGCTTCCGCATAATCATCGGCATCATCACCCTGATCATCATCACCGTCATCATCATCAGCATCAGCATCAGCATCATCATCATAATCATAATCAGCATCAGCATCAGCATCAGCATCAGCATCAGCATCAGCATCATCATCATCATCATCATCATCATCATCATCATCATCATAATCAGCACATTCATAATTATCATCGTCAGCAGCAGCATCATCAGCATCAGCATAACCAGCAGCAGCAACATCATCATCAGCATCAGCATAACCATCAGCATCACTATCATCATCATCATCATCATCATCATCATCATCATCATCATCATCATCATCATCATCATCATCAGCATCATCATCATCATCATCATCATCATCACCATCACCATCACCATCACCATCACCATCACCATCACCATCACCATCACCATCACCATTATGGGCATCATCATCGCCGTCATCAGCACCATCATAGTGATCATCACCCATCGTCCTCCTCTTTCTATTTCTCCCCCTCCTCCAGAGGACGCACGGAGGACGGATCAGGAAGGAGGAGGGGGGAAGCAGGAGGAGGGCAGGAGGATGGAAGAAGGAGAGAGGAGGGACGGGGAACTGGAGCAGGCAAGCGAAGGCAAGCGGCAGGATACTCCCGGCCTCTCCCGGGGAGGCACACCACCCGTGCTGATTGCTTTCCCTCGCTGTCTGACTGCTCCCTGCTGCCCCTGGTCCTGGAAGGCGCAGAGCGCCCCAAGGGCTGAGGGAGGCGTT